AGGAAGTGGCTGGGGGGTCCTTGGCAGGCAACGTCTCCGGAGGAGACCGGGGGGAGAGACGGACATGGACGTGTTGGGGAGGACCTTGGGTTCGAGCACGGCGGCAAAGAGATGGAAGCAGAGGAAGTTGAGGTCGGCGAGAGCACGGAGGACGAGCCGGACTTATCCGGCTGGATGCACGCCACGGGGGACGAACTGTATCCGGCACTCACCCCCACACCGACGGAGCACCCAGTACCCACACCTGAAGGAGGGGAGGGGAAGGGGGGCTTCGAGGGGGATGGATGTCAGGGGTTCAGGAGCAGAGGCACAGGAAGGGAGGAAATAGAGAGCGAGGGGGGAGGAGTCCGAAGGAAATGTTAGCGATGACAGCGGTCCGAGGTCTCTGAGTCTTTCCAGCGAATCGGAAGATTCACAGAAAGGGGCTCCCTTGGTCAGAGCAAGGGGGGTGCCGAGGGGACACCCCAGGAAGAAGGGGCCAGAGGGGACTCAGAGAGCAGCAGTTGGAAATCAGGACCAGCGTCCACACCAGAGTGCAGTAGGGGAGGAGTCCCAGGCATCGGGATCAGGCGGCGCACTGCCAGTGGGAGGACATGAGTCAGGATTGGCCACGCCTCCATCGGGGAGCGAGGAAGCGGTCGAGAGGAAGGTTGAAGGCTGGGCGCGCGCGCCAGTTCAAATGTACAGGAGGGCGGCGAAGTTGGCAGCCCGGATAGGGAGCCAGGTCCCAAAGCCCGCCGAAAAGAGGGGGAGGAGTCAGGGGGATCAACGTCAGCGTCAGAAGAATCCAGGAAGGAAGGGACCCCGGGGGGTAGCAGGACCCAGAGGAGAAAGGAGAGCCGTAAGAGGTGGAGTAAGGCTAGAATCTTAAACTGGTGTACAGGGGGCGGAGACTCTGATGGAGCTTCGCAAATCTAACCCCTAGACGTAGAGCTGGGCGCTGCAGCTTGAAAATGGAAACTGTACTTCAATAAAGACTTTTGTACATTACTGCCGGCTAGCGTTGGTCCTCTGTGAGCTGGGACCTGGAGCCAGCTCTGACAGCGACAAACTTCCCTCACCCTTTTATAAGAATAACCATTATAATAATAATAATAGTTTAAAAATGAATAATCCTAATTTATTACCCTTCCCCAGCCACTGTGGGCTGCTCCCCACAGAATATTAAAAACGTGACAAAACATACTGTCAAGGCTGCCTCAGGTCTCAGCTCACAAAAGACCAACGCCAATCTCTTCTTATATACAAAAGTGTTTATTGCAGTTCATTGTTTGCTTCATATCCGAGGCGCGCAGCCCCACGTCTGTACGCTTAGACCGTTGAAGTCCCCTCTGAGTCAGTCCCTCCCCTGCACCAGTTTAAGAGCCTTGCGCTGCTCCACCTTTTCCTCAGGGTCTTCCTGCCCGCTGGGGTTTCGCCCCTCCTGGATTCCCCTGACGCGCTATCCCCCGACTGCTCTTCCCCCCTCCTGCGGGCTTTAGGACCTGGCTCTTCCTCCGGGCTCCCTGTACTTCCGCGCGCCTCTACATTTGAACTTGGCCCGCGCGCCCAACCTCTAACTTTCCTTTTGACAGTTACACTACTCCCTTCACTACTTCCCTCCCCTTCCGGGAGGGTGGCTTGCTCCGACCTCCCTCCCTTCTCTGCTGCCGGAGCTGCTTCCCCTGATACACTGGAACCTCCACCCCCTTCGCTGCACTCTGGCGGGGAGGCTGGTCCTGACGCCCAGCTGCCACTTTGGGATCCCCGCTGGCCCCTGTTCCTGACACGTCCCCCGGGGCTCCCTGGCCTTGACCACTGGCGCCCCTTCTGGGAATCCTCTGATTCGCTGGAAAGACTCATGGAATCTCTTGAGTCATTGTCATCCTCTTCCTCGCTGTCCTGGGATTCATCCCCATCGCTCTCCATCTCCTCCCTACCCTGTGCCTCTGTCCCTGAACCCCTGACACATACTATATTACAAACTTCCCTAAGCCTTTTCTAATAATGATGATGATTTAAAAAGTAATGCTAATAATCATTTATTGCTGTTTCCCAGTATTAAAAACATGGCAAAACTTCCTTCGCGTCCAGGGTGTGGGAAGCAGCTGAGAAACAGCTGTGAGAAAAAGCGCGAAACTGCTGGACCCACCCACAACCCGACCTGGGATTGGCCGAAAGGCTGACCTATCGCTGCACAAATTATTGGGTGTGTGCGAGTGAGGGGGTTCCTAGGGCGGCCATTTTGGAAGAAGGCAACGGGACTCGAAAGAGGGAAACGGGCCGGAGGGGGGAAGAAAGGGCAGAAGAGGCGCTGCCGCTGCCATGTTGGTTGAGGGCAGCAGGGCCTAGACTAGATTTCTGCATTTCAGGGATCAGACTAGATGCCTCTGGGGGTCCCATCTCTGCATTTCAGGGGTCAGACTAGATGCCTCTGGGGGTCCCATCTCTGCATTTCAGGGCTAATTTGCCGCTTAAATAATTATTATTCTTCATACTTTAATTAATATTTAAAATTATTATTAATTTATACCCGCCCATCTGGCAAGGTTTCCCCAGCCACTCGGGGTGACTTCCAACAAAACGCTCAAATACAAGAACCGATTCAACATTCAGAGCTTCCCCAAACAGGGCTGCCTTAAGATGTCTTCTCAAAGTCGGGTAATTCTTTTTTCTCTCGGACATCTGGTGGGAGGGAGTTCCACAGGACAGGCACCACCACCGAGAAGGCCCTCAGCCTGGTTACCTGCAACTCAGCTTAACGCACCGAGGGAACCGCCAGAAGGCCCTCGGAAGTAGACCCAGGCATCCGGGCAGAAATCGCGTTTGAATGGGTCCCGTGGTCATCTAGTCCCACCCCCAGCAATGCAGGAAGAATAAGTGATTATTATTTTTTTAATATATTAATTTTTATTAGTTTTTTTAATATATCATTTTCAACAATAATTAAACATCCTTTGAGATCTTATTTCAATTTTTGACTTCCATCAATCCTGTCTGAAAATTTTCCAATCTAATTTCTCAGGATACATTTCTTATCTTCCCTATTACTCATAACCAAGATTTCTATCTTTTTCTACTTTGTAACACTTCGTATATCTCTCCTTACAAAACTTCTAGCATAATTTGTCAATTACAGTTGCTCTTCAAAAAATTCATATACTTCTTCCAATCTTCTGTCAATCTCTGGTCTTGCAGTTTCGAATCCTTCCTGTCCTTTTGTCCAATTCTGCAGAGTCCATAAATTTTGTCTGCCATTCTTCTTTCGTCAGAATTTCATCTTGTTTCCTTTTCTGGGCTCACAATACTCTTGCCGCAGTTGTTGCATAGAAAAACAATTTGACATCTTGCCTATTAATGTCCTGACCAAGTAAAATGCTTCTGGTTGTTTTTTGTTGTTTTTTTAAATTGAAAAGCCTAATAGTAATGAAAGGAATGAGGATTTGTCTGGAAAACGGGCTGAAGCATCTTTGTGAGTGGCATTCAAAGCCGCCTTGGAACATCCCCAGAGAAACAAGGAGGAGGCAGGCTTTTTCTGTCCATTTCCTGTCCATTTTGCTCGCCTGCCAGCTGGATGGGAAGCGTCAAAACGCTTCCCTCCAGCTCTGCCACCCAGTGATTTTACCCCCAGGACTCAAGATCATCCAGAGAGGTAAATAATGTGATTTATTTCGTTTGCTGGAGAGGTAAATAATGTGATTTATTTCGTTTGCCGGAGAGGTAAATAATGTGATTTATTTCGTTTTCCAAAGTTTGCATGCTTTAATCATCGTCATCCTTGAACAAGAATAACAGCCATCAAGATTACATTGAATTGATCCACTGACTCCCTGGCAATTTGCGCCGAAATTATTCCACGCACACCCCTTACAAATCGGGGAAAATTCAGTTGAAAATGCAACTTCTCTGGGCTTCTCCAGTCTCACAATATGTTGCATTTTCAGATGAATTTTGGGGGGACCACTTCAAACATCCGCTGTGCTTTGGAGCGGTTTGCTCCTTGCAAACAGCCGAAAGTTTCTAAATTTTGAGGAGAAGCCTGATTTGCAAGGGGTGGGTGGGTGGAATAATTTTGATGGCAACTATGTGTTATTTATTGGCTTTATATACTGCTCAAGGCAGCTCGCCAAAGAAAACCAGAACACAAAACCCACAAAATACATAATAAGACAAACCTAGAATCTCCCCCACCAAAAAGACCACACCCTAAATAGTTATCTGTAACATCTTTCTGCTTTTGCTATTCCAAATCCGCCTCGCGTTTTCCTGCCCTTACAGCCACGCTAGAGATCTATGAGACGGAGAAATATCAACCAATAAGAGAATAAACTGATATGATGACCAAAATTAGGGACCCAGAGGAGCGGAAACCCTTTTGCAAAGCATTTGAAAGAAATATATAATAGTCGGGGGAACGGGCAAGTAGGACTTGAACGCGGAGCAGTAGCGAAAAGAAATTAGGATATTCGGCATGGCTGGGAGAGGGTAAGGATATGCAGCAAGAGAAATGGGGAGACCAAGAAGTGATGGAATACAAAATAAAAATAGCATATGCAGCAAGAGAAGGAGAAATTGGGAGACCAGGAGGGACAGAGTACAGACCTATTAGATGGATGGTGGCAATCTAAACTTTTATGTATTAAAATTAAAATATAGTCTTGTCCTTTGGATCTCTCATTTTGGCATTTCTCATTTAGGCCCGTGTTGCAGACGCCTTTCTTCTACTTCCTACAAGGGAACCCCAATGCCCGTTAGTTCTGAAGGGCAGCCACAGAAAGAAGGGGGGCTGGGTGCATGGAGCCATTCCCAGTGCTTCTCGTGATTGGGATCCATAGATAGCTGGAGAGAGAATACCAAAGATTCATATTCATAGCTGCTGAGAACAACGAGGTTGCAGGTTCGAGAGACAGCAGCATCTTCCTGTATCGCAGCGGGTTGGTCTGGATGACCCTCAGGGTCCCTTTTCTCATTCTCCCTCTGCTTTCTCTCTGCAGATGAAGATTTGCTTCTTCCCCAGAAAGATGGCAGCAAGTGGCTTGCTGGCGCCAGGTAACCGTTTGCACAGCATCCGGCTCGGGCCCGGACTCTGGACTGTGTACATTTCTCCCGTCTGGCTGTGTACATTTCCAACTTGGACACAGTCCAGTTTTCCACTCTGGTGGGTTGCCTAGATGAGCCAGAGCGGAAAGAGAGACGTAATTTGCGGTCAGTAGAGGATCCTTCAGAGATCCAGTCCCCCCACTAGCCTGGATTCGTGGCTCCACGTCACGCCAAGGCCAACGTTCTCCAAGCCGCCACTTATAATAATAATAATATAACTTATTATGTATACCCCGCCCATCTGGCTGGGTTTCCCCAGCCACTCTGGGCGGCTTCCAACAAAACACTAAAATACCATAATCGATTAAACAGTAAAGCTTCCCTAAACTTCCAGAGCTCAAGCTGAAAGGGACCCCAAAGGGTCATCCATCCCAACCCACCGCTAGGCAGCCATCTCCGCTCTTCCATCCCAGACCAATGGACAGGATGCGTTGCAGGGGGTTGAGCTGGATGACCCTCAGGGTCCCAATCCAGTTCTATGCTTCTACGTTTGGACTTGCCGGGGGCAGGACTAGGTGACCCTCGGCTAGGATTCTGCGTCCCTGTTTCTCTGCAGTGCTGCTCTGGCTGGCCAAAGTTGCCGCCGGCTCCCCTTTCCTGCTCCCTGCTCCCGAAAACACGTCCAACCATGGGCTGCCTGCTCCGGGGAGAACGAATTCGTCGGAGGACGTCCTGCAGTGGCACACGGGATTCCCAGATCCCCTAGAGGACCTTGGTAAGTGTCACCTACGTAAAGGTCCCCTGACCATTAGGTCCAGTCATGGCCGACTCTGGGGTTGCGGTGTGCATCTTGCTTTATTGGCCGGCGTACAGCTTCCGGATATGTGGCCAGCATGACTAAGCCGCTTCTGTCAAAACAGAGCAGCGCACAGAAACGCCATTGACCTTCCCGCCGGAGCGGGACCTATTGATCTACTTGCACTTTGACGTGCTTTCCAACTGCTAGGTTGGCAGGAAAGCGTAACCTAGGGGTCCTCTTTAAGAGCCGCCCCACTTTAAGGGGCCGGGAAGAATGCGGGAAAGGACCACAAAATATTATTAAATATGTTAATCTTGTTCTTCCCTCCCCAGGCGCATCCTAATATACATTTAGTAAATTGTTATTACAGGTATTAATAATGAGAAATAAAATAGGAGATGCAGGCCGGGCCACCCACATTTGAACAGGCGCCAAAATCGAGGCAGGAAGGAGAAACCCCCCCCCGTCACGCACAGGGACCCCAGTGGCAGTGAGTTCCATAGGTGAGCCGGAGAAAGAATGCTGCCAGTCCAGGGAGGCATGAACTCCAAAAGGTCGAAAACAGCAGGACAAACAGGACAAAAGGCTCTCTTCCGAGCCAGGATTGCATTCTTTGGGGCAAAAGGTTCCCGCCTTGCTGGGGGTTGGTCTGGATGACCCTCAGGGTCCCTTCCAGCTTTTGGGTTCTTTCCCCGTTTTCAGAGCCTCCTGCCCAGCCGGTCGTCCGCAGAGAGCCTTCTCTGCAAAATCCCGGTGTCCGCTTGTCCTGCCGGGTGCCGAGTGGCACAGTGGAGGCCGTTGAATGGAAAAGGGACGGGAAACCGCTCTCCAGGGGCCAAAGGGATGACATTCTTCTTCTCCCCCTCTCCGGGGTGGAGACATCCCACTGCGGCTCGTACTCCTGCAATGCCAGCAACCGCCGGGGCTGGAAGGAGTCGCCCCAGCTGGACGTGACGCCGGGTGAGTAGACGCCAAGTGGGGGGCACAAACCCGAAGAAGAATCCGGGCCCTCTCCTCTCCCCTGTTGCCACATTTCGCCCTGTAGTGATCAGGTGGGATTGCTATGAGGAATTAGAACAAATCTAGAGTCAGCCTTCTGGGTCTGCAAGGAAAGCATTGCGTTGACTGGGTTTCAACTGTGATAGGAATTTTACGGTCTTAGATATATGGTAATGTTCCTAAGCGTACCAACCAAGATCAGCACAGGAAGACCCTCCTGGAACCATTTTGATTCCTAAACTGAGCAAATGTTTTCTCGGCAATGTCAAAATGGGAAACCTCCCCATTGTCTCACAAATCCGGTCTTAAGGGCACATTTAAGATATGAATAGGGTGTGAGCCTGTGACCTGGCCCAGGAACTAAGTATTTATCATTACAAAAACTAGCCCGGCTCCCCAGGCAATCCAATCAAGTGACCATTAAACAGGTAACCTGTCAGACGAGATAAACAATGCAGTCAGATTTCTGCTGTAGACTGCCTTTTCTGTGATGTAGGTATGACTAGCCAGGCTCCCCAGGAAATCCAATCAAGTAACCTACCAGACAGGAGATAAACAAGGACAGGAGAAAAACAACATTCAAAATTTCTGTTTTAGACCACCTTTTCTGTGATGTAGGTATGATGTATCTGAGGGGTGGTCTTAGGTTACACCCCTTCTGCGATGTAGGAATGATGTTTCTGGGAGTGGTCTTGCCTTGCCTTGCTACACGACCATGGGATCCCTTCCCCATCAATGGGTCTATGATTCCCACCAACATTTCTCCGGAGAAAGAGGCCCAATAATTCTGCAGCTCCAGAAGACCTGGTTGGGAGAGAGGAGAAAGCGAAAGCAAACTCTGAATCCATCTTTCCAGGGAATGGTAGAGTTGGATGGGACCCCACTGAAAAACCTCCAATTAATGATAGGATAGATTCGGAAAGGACCCCAGGGTCATCCAGTACAACCCCAGGCAATGTCACCATGGGCGTACCTGGGATGGGAGAGAGGAGAGAGGCATGGGTGCCCGAGCGCCCACAACATTCCCATGGAGGGTCTGGACACCCCCAAATTTCGGTGCCAGGGCCATGGCACCCAGTTGACACTTCTGGAGGGGGGAAGAGGAACATTGGAATTCTTCCCTGAGGTGCTTGATGTCTCCTCTCCCCAACGGGCTCCATCCTGCAGGGATCTCCATGATGCTGGGGGTGTCCTTCCAGCTCTCCGCCTCAGCCCTGGTGAGTGCTGCTTTCTCCGGATGGGGGATCCTCTTGCCATTGTGTCAGCCCCATAAGCTCCAGATCCGTGAGTATCTTTTTTGCCGCGGGTTGGACTGGATGATCTATGGGGTCCCACCCTTAGGTGCTACCACCCTTTTGCTCCCCAGGAGGGAAGGCCTGGAAGTGGCTCAGCATCTACGTCAACGGACTGACAGGCTTGGCCTGGCCCTTGCCTTCGTGGCCCTGATCCTGTGGAGCTATGATCAAGGTGAGGCGGGAAGGGGCTTTCGGAGAAGAGGAAGAAGCTAATTTGCCACAATAATAATAATAATAATTTAGTATTTATACCCTGCCCATCTGGCAGGGTTTCCCCAGCCACTCGGGGCGGCTTCCAACAAAACACTAAAATACAATAACCAATTAAACATTAAAAGCTTCCCTAAACAGGGCTGCCTTCAGATGTCTTCTCAAAGTCCGGTAGTTCTTTTTCTCTTGGACATCTGGTGGGAGGGAGTTCCGCAGGGTGCGCACCACCACCGAGAAGGCCCTCTGCCTGGTTCCCTGCAACTCGGCTTCTCACAGCGAGGGAACCACCAGAAGGCCCTCGGAAGTGGACCCCGGCGTCCGGGCTGAACAATGGGGGTGGAGACGCTCCTTCAGGTCTACTGGACCTTTGAGGCCGTTTAGGGCTTTCAAGGTCAGCACCAACCCTTTGACTTGTGCTCGGAAGCGTACTGGGAGCCAGTGTAGGTCTTTCAAGATGGCCGCTCGCAGTCCCCAGTCTAGCTGCCGCATTCTGGATTAGTTGTAGTTTCTGGGTCACCTTCAAAGGTAGCCCCTCGTAGAGCGCATTGCAGTAGTCCAAGCGGGAGATAACCAGAGCATGCACCACTCGGGCAGGTAGGGTCTCATCCTGCATCCCAGATGGAGCTGGTAAACAGACACAGAATGGAACTGCGCCTCCATGGACACCTGTGAGTCCAGAATGACTCCCAGGCTGCGCACCTGGTCCTTCGGGGGCACATTTACCCCATTCAGGACCAGGGAGTCCTCCACACCCGCCCGCCTCCTGTCCCCCCAAAACAGTCCTTCTGCCTTGTCAGGATTCAACCTCATCTTGTCAGGATTCAACCTCCCCCATCTGTTAGCCTCCAACCGTCTCCAGGCACTCACACAAAACCTTCGCTGGTTCCCATTGGAAAGAGAGGTAGAGCTGGGTCTCATCCGCATAATACTGAGCTTAAAGGAATACTGGGCTTAAAGGAATGGACAGCCTTAAAAAAAGTCTGATTTTCCTTTGGAAGGATCTAGTAGACTAGTTGCCTTTTAGGGGGTTGGACGCGGGGGTCCCGTCCGACTGGACCGGCCCACCATCGCCCTTCCTCTCCAGGAGGACTAGGTGCCTTTTAGGGGGTTGGACACGGGGGTCCCATCCGACTGGACCGTCCCACCATCGCCCTTCCTTCCCAGGAGGACTAGGTGCCTTTTAGGGGGCTGTACACGGGGGTCCTGTCCGATTCGACCGTCCCACCATCGCCCTTCCTTCCCAGGAGGACTAGGTGCCTTTTAGGGGGTTGGACACGGGGGTCCCGTCCGAATCGACCGTCCCACCATCGCCCTTCCTCCCCAGGAGGCCTAGGTGCCTTGTAGGGGTTGGACACGGGGTCCCGTCCGATTCGACCATCCCACCATCACCCTTCCTCTCCAGGACTCTCGGCCGCCCTCATCCTGCCTCTGTTCCTCCTCATCTACGTCGCGATGGTCACCCTGCTGGTCGTGGGCACCGTTGCCTTCAAGATGGACATGATCCACCAGATCACCGACCCGGCAGGTTGGTCAGCGGGGCTGGGCGGCATCCTCCACCCTCCAGAGCTTTTGGGTCCCTTCCAGGTTCTCGATTCCCTCCTCTTTCTTCTCCTGCAGCTCAGCGGCTGGTGGACTTCAGCACCCCGACGGGGGTGATCTTGGTCACTGTGACGTGCAGCCTCCTCATCCGGCAGGTGGTGAAGCTGGAAGGTGAGACTGGCAGGCGGCTTAAATTTCTATGTCATTTGATGTCGTCTGAAATGTGGGGGGATTTGGCACGGATTGGCTCACAACGTAGAAAAACAGATAAATAAAATAAAGTAAAAAATAAAATAAAATAAAGTAAAAATAAAATATGGCAAATGAAATAATAATTATTATTAGTTATTTAATGGGTATACTGCCCTATACCCGCAACTCTCAAAACTATAATCACAATGACTACAATAATCAATAAAAATAACAACAGATCACCATGCTTTCGGCCCAGTGCAATTCAGCTCCAGGGACCACACATTCAGCTCCAGGGACTTTAAGATGCACAGACATTTCCTTTACTTTTTAGGAAGAAAAATGTGTATCTTATGGAGCCAAAAATATGGTACCATATGGAAAATGAAATAATAATTATTATTTCTTATTCAATGGGTATACTGCCCTACACCCACAAGTCTCAAAACTATAATCACAATGTTTACAATAATCAATAAAAATAACAACAGATCACCAAGCGCAAATACTGTGAAACCTACAAAAGCAGTAGGAGAAGCAAGGACACCCAACCTAAAATTATTGTTTTTATTAAAATTATTACTAAAATAATTACTATATTATTATTATTATTATTATTATTATTATTATTATTATTATACATACCCTGCACTCCTCTTCTCTCTTCCCAGCTGATTCTGCTGCCCCTAAAGTCCTGCTTTGGGGGGGGGGGGAGTTTTAAAAATATCTTAAAACTTTGGCCTGGCTGTTGTTTTCTTCACAGAGCAAGGATGCGCTGCACCAGTGGACCTGACGCCTGTTGTTGCAGGAACTGCTGGGATGTACTTCCTCCCTTTGCAGCAATTGTTGCCGTCCGTAAGTAACTCCACCACTGTAGATGGGGCAGGTTTGGCCTTGCTGCGGGTTGGACTGGATGACCTTTGGGGGTCCCAGCTCCGCCATTGTATGATTCTGTGTTGAGATTCCTGCACTGAAGATGATGGATCTTTCAGAGCTAGCCGACCTAACCGGAAGAGTCCGTGACCAGGAGGAGGAGGAGTATCAGGAAGAGTGGATTAAATTGAATGATTACTTAGTTAAATTTAATTAAATTTAATCCAATCTTCCTGATACTTCTCCTTCTGGTGGCAGGCTCTTCCTGTTAGGTCTTAGTTAACTATGTTAAGTTAAATTAACTGAAAACAGCTTGCAGATACTTAATTGGCTTAGGATTTTATTTACGTTAAGTGATGAATTCATATGTTTAATTTCATAATGTGAAGATCTAAGGATGTTAATGTTTAAGTTGAATTTTAGAAGAACTGTGATTTGGAAAACCGTTCAAAGGACATGCAATGAAATTCAACCATGGGGAAGCGAGGACGTCACTTAACAATGTTAATCAGTGTAATTTTCAATAAGGCTATGATTTATGTTTGTTTGTCTTATGTGTTGGTTTGTTTATAATGTTGTGAAAACCAATAAAAAAAAATTGGGGGAAAAAAGAAGAGATTCCTGCACTGAAGCCTCCGTTTCGCCCAGTTCCTTGCCTAACCTCCTCCAGCGGACCCTTCGGTTCACGTCAATCAATCAATCAATCAATCGATCGATCAATCATATGGGCCTCTAGCCACAGGAGGAACTATATAATCGTAGAATGAGAGCTGTCAGGGACCCGACTGAAAGGCGGGAATCTCAAAGTTGTGGTTGTGTTTGCAGATTGTGCCGATATGAAGAGGAGGACGGACGAGGACCGAACCTCCAGAAGGGAAAACTGGAAGAAGGTACGATCGGGTTGCCAAAAAGAATGGCCTTTTTTTGGCTGAGTGACCAAGAATACTCATGGAAGGGACCCGAGGGTCATTTATCCCAACCCCCATTTGGGGCAGAAGTCTCAACATGGAATCCTAGAAACAGTTGAGCTGGATGGGACCCCAACCTAGGCTTCGAAACCTCCAGTGTGGAACAGTGGTGGGCTCGTAATCTGGGGAACTGGGTTCGAGTCTCCGCTCCTCCACATGCAGCTGCTGGGTGACCTTGGGCTGGTCAACTTCTCTGAAGTCTCTCGGCCTTACTCACCTCACAGAGTGTTTGTTGTGGGAAGGAAGGGAAAGGAGATTGCGAGCCGCTTTGAGACTCCTCAAGAGGGATATCCAATCCAAACTCCACTTCTCCTCCAAGGAGATATTTTAATATTTTAATGTTTCAATATTTTAATGTTGTATTTTCCATCTTGTTTTTAACTTGTCTTCATTCAACTTGTTTTTATGATTGCTTGTTAGCCGCCCTGAGCCCAACCTTGGCTGGGAAGGGCAGGATAGAAATAAAAATTATTATTATCATTATTATTACAAGGAAGGCGATTTCACCTGGAATGTCTCTCAGCTTGAACCGAGTCCAAAGGGTCCCTTTCTTTTTCCTTGCTGGGGAAACCCAGCCAGATGGGTGGGGTATAAATAATAAATTATTATTATTATTATTATTGCAGGCCATCCAGAACGGGACCTTCCAGCTCCTCTGAGCCGAATTCCTGCATCTCGCCAGATCTTTCCATGCCCTCTGCAAACCGAACTCAGAGTGCCAATAAAAATATTCTATGATTCACCTGTCTTCTTTTTTTACCTTTTTTAAACTGGCTGCTTTTATCCAGCTGGGCGGGAGAAGCATCCTGTTGGCGCCTCAAAAGCACACATTGATTCTGCTTTTGAGCCCAGCTTTGGCTGGGGAGGGCAGGATAAAAATAAAAATTTATTATTATTATTCTTCTATTGAGAATATTTCAACAGAAGGAAATCAAAGGAGCATGGAAAGGGAACGAAGAAAAATAAAAGATGTCTATGATATTATTATCATTTATTGAATTGATAAACCACCCTATACTCAGAGATCTCATATATGCAAACAACTATGATTCCATAGATAGTCAATCTCCTCCAACACTTCTCCAGTGAAAATAGGGACATCCTGTCACACCTCTGATATTACCCTGATGAAAATTGGGACATCCTAGTCCATCTCCAACCATTCTCCCACGAAAATAGGGACGTCCTAAAGGAAAATGGGACCTTCCTAACACTAACACTAACCCCAACCCCCAACTCTAACCCTAAAACCTAACCCTGACCCTGACCCTCTAACCCTTACCCCCTGACCCTGACCCCAACCCCTAACCCTCTAAACCTAACCCTCTAACCCTCACCCCAACCCTAACCCAACCCTAACCCTAACCCCAACCCTAACTTCCTAAGCACACTCCCCTGTGTGAGTGCCTGAGGGCCCTGTTCTTGCCACTTACCATCTGGCCTGGGGCGGGGCCTGAAGCCTCAAAAGGACTGCCCTGCTGCCCAGGAGGACTCGCCTGTGTGAGTGCCTGAGGGCCCTGCTCCTTCCTGCCACTCTACCCCCGGGCCCAGGGCGGGGCCTGACAGGCCTCACAAGGACTGCTCCTGCCACCTACTATCTGGTCCAGGGTGGGGCCTCACAAGGACGGTTGTTGCCACTGATGCTGCTACTGCCCAGGAGGACCCGGAGGGGTACAGAGTTCTTTTTAACATGTTTTAAAATCTCCCTTTCCCTTTAGATTTTTATATATGGGGGTGGGATGGATGTTTGGGTGGGCTTGGGAATTTGTTAGATTTTGATGAATTTGTAATTTTTGCAGTTTTTATTTGTATTGTTTTATTGTTTTCTGGGTTGCTTTTGTTTTTTGTTTTTATTGTTTTAAGGTTTTATTGTTTTAGGCTGCGAAAGAATAACAGTAATTGCCATCAATGGAGGCTACTATGAGGCTTGAGATTGCTACAGTGGAGGGGCGAGGGAGGTATGGTGGTGGGGGCAGATGTTATAGGCGAAGGGGATCGAGATATGGATATGCTCGTACCCCTTCCAATCTGTGCCTCATCCCGAGGGACGAGGGTAGGGTGAGCAAGGATTACTCACCTCCGTCACTGGTGCTGTGCAATGCCAGGTCTATAGGCAACAAAACCGCCACCCTGCGAGATTTCTTTATCTCGCAAGGGGTTGACCTGGCTTGTGTGACGGAGACCTGGGTGCGCGAAGGGGCAACAGTTACCTTACGAGAGATGGCGCCCCCGGGTTTCTCTGTCCTCCACCAGTCGCGGACTGTGGGCCGGGGGGGGAGGGGTAGCATTATTAATCCGGGAAGATTGTCCTTTCAGGGCTCTACCATCGCCATCGATCCCCAGCATTGAATGTGTTGGCCTAGTGTGGGGCTCCAAGGAGAGCTTGGCTGTCTGGCTGGTGTACCGGCCACCTAGCGCACCAGCAGCCACCCTGTCAGGCCTATTGGAGGCGGTAGCCGGCTGGGCCTTGGAGTTCCCTAACCTATTGGTATTGGGGGACTTCAACATCCATGCTGATGCCACTCCCTCCTCACAGGCTCTGGACCTGGTGTCTTCCATGGCGACACTAGGGCTCTCCCAGTTTGTTTCGGGCCCCGCACATCAAGCAGGCCACACGCTGGATTTGATCTTTGGCGTAGGTATAGATGTGATCATGTCTCCTTCGATGAAGGTGCCATGGTCTGATCGCTACGCTCTGAAAGCCAGGATTGACTTTCCACCCCCACCCTGCTTAGGTGGCGAGCCGATTTGGGCTCGCCCGCAGAGGCTGATGGACCCTGATAGATTCCGCCAAGCCTTGCGGGACCTTGCTCCCCCTGGCAACTCATTGACTGAGCTTGTTGAGGGCTGGAATATCCAGCTCCTGGCAGCCATCGATGAGATCGCACCTAAGCACCCTCTGCGACCCTGCAGAAACCGGGCTCCCTGGTTTACCGAGGAGCTCCGGGAAATGAAGCGGGACCTCAGACGGCTAGAGCGAGTATGGCGGGGTGCCCGTGATGGAGCCTCAAGAACATCTTATAGGGCTTTTATGAAAACCTACGAGATGGCGGTGAAGGCTGCTAAGAAGTCTTACTTCTCAGCCTCCATTGCATCCGCTAGCTCTCGCCCGGCACAATTATTTAGTATAATCAGGTCTTTAACGTCCCTTGAGGGACAGGCAAATTTAAATAACAATTTGACACACAGCTGTGAGGCATTTGCGAGCTTTTTTGCCGAGAAGGTCTTGTTGCTCGGCCATGACCTCCCTGCCAATTTGGATACAATAAAGGAACTGGAGGCCCCTCAACTGTCCTCGGGTCCAGTATTGGACCACTTCAACCGGATATCCCCAGCCGATGTGGACAGACTCCTCCGAGCTGGAAAGCCCACCACCTGTCCTCTCGACCCGTGCCCGTCTTGGCTGATTAGAGCGTGTCCAGACGAGGTGCGGGCCCCCCTGGGGGATATCATCAATTTGTCCCTTGGCACAGGGACATTCCCAGGGGAACTGAAGGAGGCAGTGGTGCGCCCGCTCTTAAAGAAAACATCATTAGATCCTTTAGATCTATCCAATTACCGCCCAGTTTCGAATCTTCCGTTCCTGGGTAAGGTGACTGAGAGAGCGGTTGCTGAACAGCTTGTGGGTTTCTGGATGAAACATCGGCTCTGGATCCATTCCAGTCCGGCTTCCGCGCTGGTCATGGGACCGAGACGGCTCTGGTTGCCCTAACAGATGATCTTCGTAGACAGCTGGATCAAGGTGGGTCGGGGCTGCTGATTCTTCTAGATCTGTCAGCAGCTTTCGACATGGTCGATCACGAACTTCTGGACCACCGCCTTACTGATGTGGGGATCCAGGGCACAGTCCTTCAATGGCTGTGCTCGCTTCTCTCTGGTTGGGGACAGAGGGTGGCGCTTGGGGGGGAATTGTCATCGCGCCACTCCTTGGTGTGTGGAGTACCTCAGGGTGCGATACTCTCCCCGATGCTTTTCAACATCTTTATGCGCCCCCTCGCCCAGCTTGTCCGGAATTTTGGGCTGGGTTGCCATCAGTATGCTGATGACACCCAACTCTATCTGTTGATGGATGGCCATCCTGACTCGGCCCCAGACACACTGACCAGATGTTTGGAAGCTGTGGCTGGATGGTTACGTGGGAGCCGGTTGAAGCTAAATCCTTCGAAGACAGATGGCCTGTGGCTGGGGCGGGACGATATTGGATTGGGGGGGCAACTCCCATCTCTTGCGGGGGCGCAATTAGTGCCAGCACCGTCCGTTAAGAGTTTGGGTGTAATCTTCGACACCTCCCTTTCCATGGAGGCGCAGATTGCAGCTACAACAAAGGCGGCATTTTTCCATCTCCGCCAAGCTAAGCAGTTGGCGCCTTACCTCTCTCGCCCTGACCTAGCCACTGTGATCCACGCGACGGTCACCTCCAGACTGGATTGTTGTAACTCGCTCTACGTGGGGCTGCCCTTGAGACTGACCCAGAAACTCCAGCGGGTGCAGAATGCTGCAGCAAGACTCCTTACGGGGTCTTCGCTGCGAGATCACATTCACCCGGTGCTATACCAGCTGCACTGGCTCCCGGTGGAGTACAGGATCAGGTTTAAGGTGCTGGTTTTAACCTTTAAAGCCCTATACGGCCTAGGACCCTCGTACCTACGGGACCGCCTCTCCTGGTATGCCCCACAGAGAAACTTACGGTCTTCAAATAAAAACATCTTGAAGGTCCCAGGCCACAGAGAAGTTAGGCTGGCCTCAACTAGAGTCAGCGCTTTTTCGGCCGTGGCTCCGATCTGGTGGAACACTCTGTCACAAGAGACCAGGGCCCTGCGGGACTTGACATCTTTCCGCAGGGCCTGCAAGACAGAGCTGTTCCACCAGGCCTTTGGCCAGGGCACAGCCTGACTCCCCCCTCGGCAATCTTCGCGGAGCTCTGGCCCAATGGTTGCCAGTGGCTTGAATTAATTAATTTTATAATGAATGATTTTAGAGTGTTGTTTGTGCTGTACTTTTGTACTGTTTTATTGTTGTTAGCCACCCTGAGCCCGGCTTCGGCTGGGGATGGCGGGATATAAAAATTTATGATGATGATGATTATGATTATTCCAAAGAATTATATGATGGTGTATATATCTATATTGGAAGGGACCCCAAGGGTCATCCAGTCCAACCCACTGCAAGGCAGGAATATGCAAGAGAACCACCACCAACCTTGGTTGTGCTGTCAATGTTGCCCTATTAAATGGCACTTTAATTTAAACTGCAGCTGCAAGTTACGCCATTAAACACACCTTGCCATCTCCTTTTGCTGACTGAGAGTGCAGGACGTGCTGCTTACAGTCTCCCCAGGAGCATTTCAAGAGTCAGAAGGAGGCCTGAAGCCTTCGGGGTGATTGTACAAATGCTAACAACATTTCCACCTCCAGAAAAGGGGGAAAAATGAGCCTACTCTAAGGGAATGCTCATGAGTGTATGAAGTGCTTTTCTTTAGAACACCTCTCTTAACATTACAAACTTCTGCAAATTTCCAAAACACATACATACGTGCCAGTATTTGTAAATGTAAATGATTCAACTGGCTTTTGGTTTTGGCCCCCGTTACCGGGGCTCAGCCCACTTGGTCTTGTGGCATAGGGACTCCCAGCCTATATGTGTGTACGCGAATGTGCATAGCTGGTGACACTCTTAAATCTTTGCTTTGCCCCTGCTGTGAGCCACACTGCACAGTTGATTTTTAAGGGCTGACCCCCCCAAAAAAACTGTATTAAGACATTACTAAATGCTAAGGTTTCAATTTTTTGAGAGACTGTGGGAAAATGCAATCTCCCTGACCATTGAAGAATAGAGACTGTTATCTAGGAGGTTGCCAGGATTACTGGTGTAAGGATAGGAAGAGAGACTTTTCAGCAAGCTGTTTGAGCTGAAATCCACCTTTGGAGAAGGCAGGCTGGACCTCTTAAAAGGACCAGGCCTTGTGGAGGTGTAGGGACTGTGCGGTCTTACCAATTTATAGAAATAACTAGGTATTTCCCACCGTTCCCTTTACTCCTTACTACTAAGAATCTTTTCCAGTGGATGGAAGTGGACTTAGGCAGATGTAGCATTCAACATTAAGGAATAAAGCAGAGCCCATACAGGCAACCCACCTTTTGCAACTGCATGGAGATGTCTAAGAGCTGCTTTCCTTCCCCTTGGCTGCCACACTGCTGGGTGGATCAAGTGTTTGGTTAAAGGAGCTGTTTGGATCTTGTGTCAAAAGATCCCCTTTCCCCCTCTCGCCCCACAAGGCAGCAGCAGGAGGGCCCCTCTTCTCCCTCCCTTTGTCAGGCGAAACTTCCCCCTTCCTTCTCCTCCCCCTTTTGGGAGCAGGAATTCAGCACAGCCCATAGAGACCTGAGAAATAACAGGGGGGCGAATTTTTTCCAGAAGAACTGAAAGAGGGGTCCGTGTAAAAAGAGGCACCAAGCTCAAATTAACGTGCAAGGAATAAGGTAACTCACAGGAAGTGAGGCTACTTTCCCATCATACAACTAACTTTAAGGAACGCTATTTCTGTTTCTTCTTTCTGAAGCCCTTTCCAAAGAAAAATGATGGTATATGACCTCTGGAAGGGACCCCAACGGTATCCAGTCCAACCTGCTGCAATACAGGAACATGCAGGAGTCCCTTATGGGGAACAACCCCGCAACCTTGGTTGTGCAGCAAATATTGCACTCTTAAATGGCACTTTGAAGGCTATTTAGGTATAGTTCAGGGATCTACACCTCTCCTGGAGCTGCAAGTTCAGCCATGAAGAAAACATGGCCATTCACTATTATTGACTGGAAACAGAGGAAGTGCTGCTTACATCCTCCTTGGGAGCATTTCAACAGTCAGGAGGAGCCCTGAATCCTTCAGGGTGATTATACATATTCTCACCCTGACCCTGACCCTACACAAAGTGTTCTCTCCATCTACCCCTTCTGCCTGGAAGTGTGTACAAGGAAGCCTACTCATTTCAGGAACCAAGCCTGACTATCTACTGCTGGAAAATTCCACCTTTAGTTGCAGACATGGAACTGTTGCATGTCACATGTCTGTTTACATACCAGCACAATTTGCTGGGAACTTCTGTTGTGTGTACAGTGGTACCTCGGGTTAAGAACTTAATACGTTCTGGAGGTCCGTTCTTAACCTGGAACTGTTCTTAACCTGAGGTACCACTTTAGGTAATGGGGCCTCCTGCTGCCACCGTGCCCCTGGAGCACGATTTCTGTTCTCATCCTGAAGCAAAGTTCTTAACCCGAGGTACTATTTTTGGGTTAGCGGAGTCTGTTTGTCCTGATTTATGATTAATAAATCCATAGTTGTGGTATGCTTCCACAAGCCTCACGCCTATTCTGTGTGTGCAGTTTGCTCGGCTGATATAGTGTGCCCTGGCTTTGAAGCCTGGGTTGCTGATTTACATCGGAGCAGAGGCAGATGGATCTTCGCAGCTGGACAGCTGGAAGGAGACGATCCAGCTGGGGCTAGCCAGCTATCCTTGCGACCCTCTGCATTGTTGAATGGTTTCTTTAAATGTAAAGGTTCATCACTGTTCCACCCGATGTGTATGTCTTTAAGGGGCCAGAGCAAGGGCCAGAGCAAGATAACGAGACCCAGCTTTACAGCTGTGAAACATAGCAGGTGCTGTTGAGTTGTATTGATTAAGCTGTGTTGGCAATTGGGTGTAGTATATAAGGAGCAGCACTAGCTCTCCCATTACCCTGGGGGATGGGTTGGTGTTTGGGTCATGTTTGTTTGTTAATATATTTAGTGTAAATGGGGTTTTTGTTTTTGTAATTAAAACCTTGTTTAAGCTATTTTTGAGTCCCTTTTTAATGCATGGTCTCCCCAGCAAGCTCTCTGCAGTGCTACCATGCTGCAAAAAGCCAACAACTACAACTAACTTAAAGGAATGCTATTTCTCTATCTTCTTTCTGAAGCACTTTCCAAAGAATCGTATGATGGTGGGTGAGTGGGTGAGTATATATCGTGAAGGGACCCCAAGGGTCATCCAGTCCAACCTGCTACAAGGCAGGAATTTGCATGTGTCCCTTACGGGGAACAACCTCACAACCTTTGTGTCCACATCACAGCTAGCTGTTGCACTCTTAAATGGCACTTTGAAGGCTATTTAGGTATGGCTGAGGGATCCACACTTCTCCTGCAGCTGCAAATTAAGTTACGCCATGAAGCACACCTTGCCATCCTCTTTTGCTGACTGAGAGCAGAGGAAGTGCTGCTTACAGCCTCTCCAGGAGCATTTTGACAGTCAGGAGCAGGCCTGAAGTTCTCGGGGTGATTGCACATATGCTAACAACATTTATACCTCCAGGCAAAGGACAAAACATGAGCCTACTCTGAAGGCTCATAAATGTAGAAAGTGCTTTTATTTAGAGCACCTCTCTTAACATTGCAAGTTGCTGCAAGTGTCCAAAACTGGTGTGAAGTTGCTGGTTTGTAAATATTAATTATTCCTACTTTATTGATCTGAATTACTCAAATGGCTTTTAGTGCTGGCCACTACAGCAGGGGCTGATCCCTATTTATTCTTGTGGTGTTCAATTCAGAGTATCTGTTTAAAAAATCAAACAGAAAGCAATGGAGGGTTGCCGTTAAGGCTGGGGGGAAGGGGCAAACTCGGTCTTATAGACCCAAACTGGGTTTTGGGATGCTCCATTAGACAAATAAGCCAGCTCACTGCCTATCTAATTCACTGGGCATTCAAGTATTTGCTTGCAAATTAATTTTTTTTAATTTATGCCTTTTCCAAAACATTTATCTTAAGATGTAATGTGCAAGTGTACCACTTTTGGATGCTAATTAATCTCCGCTTGGATTATGTGGATAAATTGATAGGTGAAAGAATCGGTGCCTTGAGTAATTACCTGGTTAAAACAATGGTTCATCTGAAGAAATTAAGTTTTCAACACATTGCTTTGTCACCTTTAGATAGCCTAATAAGAAAAGGAAAAATAGACAAACCTCACCAACATGAGTGAAGCTAGGAGGTGCTGCCCTACTCCAATCAAATAAATAAAAATACTTTACTGTATTTTTACTATGCTGGTTAGGGGGGACGAGGCCAAGCCCCATTTGGGTGGGTGTGATATATCAGGAGTGGGGTTGTTTAAAAATGTTATTAAGTGTTATATGTTAATTTGTATTTCTATTTTTTCCCCTATTACCTTCATGCCTGCAGCTGACTTTTCCTCCACCTCCTCTTCTCCGTTCCTCAGGCGAAGCTTCCTCCTCTTCAGAGCAGGAATTCATCAGAGCCCATACAGACCTAAGAAATATCAGTAGGGTCGATTATTTTCACAAGAAGGGAAAGAGGGGGTCCACGTAAAAGCAAACATATAATATGTCAAGCACAGATTGAAGAAATAATAAAGTGGGAAAGGAGCCTCCCTTCCCTGTAAGCCATCATACGATTAACTCGAAGAAACATGTTCTCTCCCCCCCCCCCCCGTTTATTCTTTCTGAAGCACTTTCCCAAGAATCATATAATGGTGTATATAGCCGGAAGGGACCCCAAGGGTCTTCCAGTCCAACCCGTTGCAAGGCAGGAATCTGCGAATGAACCACAAGGGGATTGCATTTCATAATAAGTGAAGGAATTAGGATCTTGAGGAATTACCTGGTTACAAAAACACTGCTTAAAGCAGTGGTTCATCTGAACAATACATTGTTCAGATACAGTTTTCAATACATTGCTTGGTCACCCTTGGTTCGGCTCACAAAAGTGGCCTGAGGGGGAAAGCAATGGAGATCTGAACTCACAGCCAGTTACTCTGGAGTTGCTGTAGCCAAGGGGAGCTTCCCCGCCCCAATTCGAATAAATAAAAATACTATACTGTTAAGGCTTAGGGGGGAAGAGGCCATGTCCCACTTGGGTGGGTGTGATTAATAATAATAATAATAATAATTTAACATTTAGTGATAATAATAATTTATTACTATTTCCCAGTCCCCAACAGAATATTTTAAAACAGATAAAACATAATATACTACAAACACCCCTAACCCTTTTCTAATAACAATTATTATAATAACAATAACAATTTAAAAATTAATGATAATCATAATTTATTATCCTTCCCCAGCCACTGTGGGCTCCTCCCAACAGAATATTAAAAACGCAACAAAACATAATAATTACAAACTTCCCTAAGCCTTTTATAATAATAATAATTTAAAAATCAATGATGATAATAATTTCTAATTATTTCCCACCCACTGTGGGTGGCTCCCAGCAGAATACAGTATTAAAAACACGACAAAACTTACCGTACAAGCTTCCTTCACGTAAAGGGCGTGGGAAACGCCGAGGAGAAACAGCTGAAGAGAAAAGGCTGAGGAGAAAAAGCGCCAAACGGCTGGCCCCGCCCACAACCCGACCTGTGATTGGCCAAAAGGCCGACCTATTGCCGCGAGATTTTTATTGTTGCTGTGGCTGCTCTGCGCGTGCGTTGAGCGAGGGGGTCCTAGGGGGGCCGTTTGGACGAGGGCAACGTGACTGGAAAGAGGGAAACGGACCGGAGGGGGGAAGAAAGGGCAGAAGGCGCGCCACCGCCGCCATTTTGGTTGAGGGCAGTGGGGCCTAGCCTGGCCGTTGGGTGGCGCTGTCTCCTTCGTGAGGTGGGCGCCTCGTTGGGGGTCCCTGCGGAGAAGGAAGCCGGAGGGCCCCCCCCAACTCCCCTCAGGGAGGAGTCCCAACAGTGCCTGAGGGGCCTGGTTCCTCCTTGTTATTACTATTATATATTATTAAATATAATAATGATAATGATAATAATAATAATTTGTATTATATACCGTATTTTTCGCTCTATAAGATGCACCAGACCACAAGACGCACCTAGTTTTTGGAGGAGGAAAACAAGAAAAAAAATATTCTGAATCTCAGAAGCCAGAACAGCAAGAAGGATCGCTGCGCAGTGAAAGCAGCAATCCCTCTTGCTGTTCTGGCTTCTGGGATAGCTGCACAGCCTGCATTTGCTCCATAAGACGCACAGACATTTTCCCTCCCTTTTTCGGAGGGAAAAAGTGAGTCTTATAGAGCAAAAAATACGGTATATATAATCTTATAGTTAAGGTTTATTATTATTATTATTATTATTATTATTATTGATTATCCTCATTATAAGCATTCTCCTTTTTCTCCTCCTCCTCGCAGCGTTTCCCTGAGCGCTGCTTCCAGGCTCCCTGGCCCAGGAGGCTTTGCCAGAGCAGAAGAGGCGCCTGGGAGCCCAGGGTAGTCCCACAAAGTGGATTCCTGTGGGCCCCCCGGCGTCCTTTAGGGTGCAGGGACCAAAGTCCTGGTTTCTGCCTCCGCCCCGCCAGCCTTTTGCCCGCCTCGCCCTGTGGGCGCGCAGATAAGTTGAGGTCGAAGTCCTGCTGGGCGCTGCTGGGAGGATGGCGCGCCTGTGGGTGCTGTGGGGTGCCCTGCTGGGCTGGGGTGAGCCGGGGGGGGCGAAGGGAGATGGGGGCTGCGAATCCTGTTCCTCTCTCTCTTCCCTCTCTCAATTCCCAAAGTCCTGGGAATTATAGCTCTGAGCAGCGGGTTGGACTAGATGACCCTTGAGGTCCTTCCATCTCTCCCATTCTAGGATGCTCACTGTCTCTCTCACACTTCCTCTCCTTTTAATGGCACTTTCCCCCTTTTTCCCCCCCTAGCTGGGTCTCCATTTCCTAGCTGGGGCGCCTATGGGAACTCAAGCGTGAGCACCTGCAACTTTGCCTGCGACCGCTGGGATTGCTCTGATGAGAGCCATTGCGGTAAGTTTTGGCGTCACCAAAGGAATCGGGGAGACGTGCCTCGATTCCCCTCGCAGAGAGTGATTTAACCCATCTTGACATCCCTCAAAGCACCCTGGGAACTGTAGTTTCCTATGGAAGGAGAATATTCTGCACTGCCTTTCCAAGGAAACTCTGGGAGTTATAGCTCTGAGAGGGTCTCCTTGGGAAACTGAACAAGCTACAGTTCCCACAATGTCCCCCAAAGCACCCTGAAAACGATTGCTTGCTCTGGGCGTTGAGGCTTGCGATTCCCTTGACAGAACTACAGTTCCCAAGCCCATTTCTCTTCCCAGGGAACTCTGGGAACTGTAGCTCATGGGGGGGGAACAGGGGTCTCCTAACAGCAATTGGTGCTCGGAATGCTGGGAACTGTAGCTTGCTCAGGGCACCTGATTCCTTCTCCTTCCAGGCTACCGGAATGGGCTGGCACTGCCAGGTGCCGCCTTGGCCTGCGACTTTGAAGGCACCACCTGCGGCTGGGAGGACGTCAGCACGTCTGGGTACCGGTGGCACCCAGGGCGGGGCAGAGGCTGGGCGCGCGGCGCCAACCCCCCCTTCGACCACACGCTGGGCACCGACCAGGGTAAACGTGCTTCATTTGAAGGGAGGGGAAGCATTGCTTAGCGGTTAGAGCACCCCTTTGACCTGGCGCCCCCCGACCTCCCTTCAGGCTGGTACATGAGCACCTCAGAGCAGCGAGCCAAGCCGCCTGCCGCCCCTGCCCGACTCCGCTCCCCGACCCTGAGCGACGCAGCCTCAACCTGTGAGCTCCGCGCCTGGTACAGCATGGCCGAGACAAGTAAGCTTGGGGCGCTGGCGGTCAGAAATCCAACAGGTGCAGAGCCACCTGCTCGGCCTTTTCCCCGGTGTGGTGGGGGAAATGCCGCCTGGCCCGGTTCTCATAATTGCATATCAATATTACATAATACGTTTCTAAACTGCAGGATGTATCGTATCATATAATTAGTATTTATTGATTTCCAGACTACTGACCAACCTGGTAGGGTCGGTGTAAAGAAATACCATCCTGATCATTCTTATCTTGACATTTACTGATGCCCTGCTTCCTGCCCCCATTGGGGACTGATAAAAACGAGAGCGGCTGAGACGAGATGGCAATCTGCAATCCTCACCGGGGTCAGACTAGATGACCCTCGGGTCCCTCACCCCTCCTCCCTTCCCCTGCAGGATTCAACGGGAGCTTCACATTGGAGTTGAGCCATGGCGGCCACGTTGTCCCCCTGTGGCGAAGCCCCGCCTCGTCCTCTGGTGCCTGGCGCCCCCTGCTGGCCTACACTGGAAGAGTCCGTGGCGCTTTCCAGGTGGGTCTTGGGCTCCTCGCTCTCCCCGGCCGGCTCCTTCTCCGGAGCATGTCAAGAGCGCTGCCTCCCCCTCCACAGGTCACCTTCTCCTCGGTGGCGAGCGTGGCGCTGGACGATGTACAGTTCAGGAACTGTGGCCCCCAAAGTAAGGCTTTCTTTTCCGCCTCCTCAAAACCCTGCCAACCAGATAGACTGCCTCTGGGCTTGGAGGCTCCCCATTCACCGTCCCAACATTTCCAGGTCCCCGGAGCTGCGCCCCAAACGAGCGCCCGTGCCTGCCAAGAGGCTGCGTGGCCCCTGCCCGCCACTGTGATGGCACCGAGGACTGCAGCGACGGCAGCGACGAACAGGGTTGCGGTGAGCAGTCGGGGCCGGGGGGGGAGACATGGGCGCCACCGGAAGGGGGGAGGGCGGAAAAGGCACCTTGGGACCCCCCCTCACCTGCCTTTCTCCCCCAGAGACCTTCCTCTCGTGCCCCTTCGAGGAGGACTGGTGCAGGTGGACAGCGGGTGCCAACCAGAACCTCTCCTGGGCGAGGAACTGCAGCTCCCAGGTGCCGTCGTCCCCAGCCCGTCCCACCCGCGACCACACCACCAACACGCCGGAAGGTGGGTGCTGGTTGTTAATATGTAGAGGATGCCAGCAAGGCTGAATCTTTCCGTAAAGAAATGATTTGAATCAAGTCTTACCAACTCGGGGCATGTGCAGAGTTCTGCACCTCCAGGAGCTCACAACTATCTTTCTGAGCTCATTTATACGTGGGGGGGGCATGATATTGACATAGATAGAGATCATTTAAACATAGAGATAATTTATAGGCAGAGATACACATAATAAATAGCTCTGTTCCATGAGCATAACTATAGGCATATATGTGTATAAATATAAATAAAATGGATGTGTATATGTGTGTGTGTGTGTGTGTGTATATATATATATATATATATATGTAAACGAAATGTGTATTTACATATGTATATGCGTTTGTATATAAATAAATAAATAATATGGATATATGGGTATATGTGTGTATAGATACGCGTGTATAGATTTATAAATATAATTGATATATGCATATGTGTGCATATATAGATATAGATATAAAATGAATATCTATATGCAATGTATGTGTCTTTATAGATGACATAGAATCATAGAATTCTAGAATTGCAGAGTTGGACGGGACACTTCAGGTCATCTAGGCAGAAATCTTTTGCCCAAATTGGGGCTCGAACCCACGACCCTGAGATTAAGAGGAGAAAACCAGCCAGATGGGCGGGGTATAATAATAATAATAATAATAATAATAATGGTAGAGTCTATTAATGGTAGACTCTGGTACTCTACCAACTGAGCTCTTCATATATTTATAGATCTTGTGATTGTATAACAGAGCTTTACAAACTTTTTACGTTGGGGTCACAGTGACAAATAAATCTTGATCTTGGGGTGGCATTTCGCTGGCCGTGCCTCAGCTCCCTCTTTCGCTCTCCTCTCTCACAGGGCACTTCATCTACGTCGCCGGCGCCCAGCGAGGCCGAGCTGAGCTGGTCAGCCCCACCCTGGTGGTGAACGGGTCCTGCCATGTGAGTCCCTTATAATCATCATCATCATCATCATCATTTACGATTTATTATTTGCGAAAATATGGGAGGAGGTTATTATCATCGTTTAGTATTTGTTTTCTGCGGAAATATGGGCCAGTATTGATTATTGAATATGAAGAATATCGGCCGCCCCTGTACTGGTGAACGGCTCGGACCCTCGGCTCTAGCGCTACGTTTCCCTTCCAGCTGGTGCTCTATGCCCACCTGCACGGGTCGGACGCCAACCGCCTGAACGTCTACTCCCAGACAGAGACGAAGAGGGAGCTGATCCTCAGCCGTGCCGGCGACCTGGGCGACTTCTGGTTCCGCCAGGAAGCCACTTTCAACGGCACCGAGGACTTCCAGGTACCCCCAGTCTCTGTAAAGGCAGAGGAGCACTGCTGGTGCCAGGAATTTGGCAGCCGTGCCCTGACTTCAGGGTTCGACATTCACCAGGCATTTTTGGCGCCAGGTTGGCCACATCTCCCTCTGGCAGGGCCCTTAAGCAGAAGGGCTTATTTCAAAAAAATGGGACCCCAGCGGTCATGTAGTCCAACCCACTCCAAGGCAGCCATCTTTGCTCAAACTCTCCAAGCTCTTCTTCCAAACTTCCTAAGAAGGAGAGGCTTCTTATTGCCCCTTTTTCTCCTCCCTTCTTCCCTACAATAACCTTGCCAGCAACACCCCCCCCCAACCCTTGCCAGGTAGGCTCAGAGGAGGCGACAGACTCCAGGGTCTGTCTGAGTGAGGATTCAAACCCGGATCTCAGACACTAAGGACTGCGCCACACTGCCTTCCCAGAGCACTTCTGCAATATTATAGTCAGCAAATAAATAGGGGGTGTCAGGGGTTCAGGAGCAGAGGCAAGGGCAAGGGAGGAAACAGAGAGCGAGGGGGAGGAGGCAGAAGAAAAGATGAGTGATGACGACGACCCGAGATCTCCGAGTCTTTCCAGTGAATCAGAAGATTCACAGAAAGGAGCACCAGTGGCCAGGGCAAGGGGGAGCCTAGGGGACGCCCCAGGAAGATAGAGCCAGAGGGGACTCAGAGGGGAGCAGTTGGAAATCGGGACCAGCGTCACCGCCAGAGAGCAGGGAAGAGGAAGGGAGCCAGGGATCAAGCGCTGGCAGCTCACAACAGGGGGGAGGGCACGAGTCAGGAGTGGCCACACCTCCATCGGGGAGCGAAGAAACGGTCAGACGGAAGGTGGACGGGTGGGCGCGCGCGCCAAGTTCAAATGCACAGGAAGGTGGCACAGTCGGCAGCCCGGAAAGGGAGCCAGGGCCCACAGCCCGCGGGTAGGGGGGAGAAGGGTCAGGGGGGTGTGCTTCTGCGTCAGAGGATTCTCGGAAAGAAGAGTCCCCAGGGGCAGAGGGACCCAGAGAAGAACAGTCAGGCGGAAAAGGTGGAGCAGGGCTAGGATATTAGGTTGGTGTACAAGGGGCGGAGACTCAGACGGAGCTTCGCCGGTCTAACCATGAGACGTAGAGTTGCACGCAGCAGTTTGAGAATGGAAACTGTAACTCAATAAAGACTTTTGTTTAATGATCGCTGGCTAGCGTGATCCTCTGTGAGCTAGGATCTGGAAGCAGCTCTGACAGGGGGAATAAAGAAATATAGTCTTTTCCTGGGCTTTACTCTGGATGTTTTAATGCCAACTGCTTGGAAGTGTTTTTTTTCAAATATAAAGTGGTACAGAAAGGAAATGGAGAACGCTCATAATAAGTAAAAAAAGAAAAGGATTTCTCTCGGACTCACTCCCTCCTTCCAGATTGTCCTTGAGGGCGTCATCGGGAAGGATCCCCAAAGCAGCATCGCTCTGGATGACCTGATCCTGTCTCCCGGTTGCATCCAGCAAAGTGGTGAGGGGGAAAGGTGTTGAAAGAAGGCTCCGGTTCTCTTGAGGGCAATTCTTTCTCCCAAAATATTTCACATGGGTCATATCTGCATGTGTGCACATGTATGTGTAATGACTGCTTGTCGATATTAAGAGGATGCCAGCAAGACTGAACCTTTCTATAAAAACTGGTTTAAATCAAGTCTGACTGACTTGGGATTTAAGTGGTGGTTTCAATTGTCATTTAAATTGATTTCATTTCAATCACATCCACCCTGCTCTGGAAATTTATTATTCCAAAAAGGAAACCTTCTTCTGGTTGTTGATATTAAGATACCAGCAAGGTTGAATCTTTTTGTAACAAAAATGACCTATGGGAATGGGACCCCCAGGGTCATCCAATCCAACCCCACCTTTTGGGCTGCGACCGATGAAGAGTCCTGGACATTGGCGCCCCCTTCCCTCCCCATTCAGGCCTGCTCTCCGCTCCCCGCACTGAGCAACCACCCGGACCGGTGCCCTGCAAGGACGACCAGTTTGCCTGTGACAGTGGGGCACGCTGCCTCGGCAGCGAGCAGGTGTGTGACTTCAAGGCCGACTGCGACGACGACACCGACGAGAGCCAGTGTGGTGAGCGTCTGCCGTGGGCCTCCGTTAACCCGCGGAACTGCCTGCCACAGGAGTCTCTTGTGACACAGAAAGCAGATTCCCTGCTGGGCCTGAGCCCACCCAGGGGTGGCACCTGGGCACCCTAAAATCTGCTTTGGGCATCACAGAATGATAGCTGGAGTCATCTAGCCCAGCCCCGATCCCAGCAGCCCCTGTCCTTTCCTAGGAGCCAGCAATTTCACCCATGGCATGGGCGGCTGGGCGGACATCAGTGTAGGCCGGATCCAGTGGGTCAGCGCGGGGCCGGATCCTGCGTCGCCCGGACTGGGCCTGGGCCAGGCTCCGGGGCAGATGCTCTCCCTGGCCAGGGCCACCACGCCGCTCCTGGGGCCTTCCAGCTGGGCCTGTGCCGTGGAGCTGCAGTTCAACACCGGCCCTCAAGGTAGGTGCAGCCGGGGGGCCAATTCAGGGAGGACCAGATCCATTTTCCATGTAAACGCACAGGAGCTGCAACATGCAGGCAGACGCATGCAAATTATTATTATTATAATTTACTATCATCATTGACTATTATTTACAGAAATATTGGAGCAGATTTTGTGATTTAATTTGGATTTTTAAAACAAAGTGCTTTGGGAGGAAAAATCTTTCTCAAGATTTCCTCTTTAAGTGACATCAGAGTCCAAAGGCTATTCCCCGGGAAATAAGGATTTATTTTAAGTTCTTCACGTGTGCTAAAACTCAGTAAAAATAATCCTGATTGTTTAACCACATCAGTCGCGCTCTTTTCCCAGGGCTCCTGGCTCTGGCTGTCACCGACGCAGCGCCGGGCCGGTGGTTGTGGCACGCCCAGGGCAATGGCACTGCTGCCTGGCAGCATGTCACCGTGGCCCTGGGTGCGAGAGAACGGCCTTTCCAGGTGAGCCAGCAGCTCCCCCACCCCCCACCCCGCCTGAGGTGGGTGACAGCGGGTTGGGCTGGATAACCCCTGGGGTTCCCTTATCTCTGTCTCCCCGAAGCTGGAGCTCCTGGCGACGGAGGAGGATCTTGCCCTGGCCATCGAGAGCGTGGCCTTTCTGGACTGCGGTGCTTCTCTCTCGCGCCCCTCAGGTATGTCACCATCGGAGGGCGCTGATTCCCCTCCGCCCGTCAGAATCATTCTTCAACATTTTCCCAATTTGGGGCCGCTATTGTTTTAGCCAGGCATCCCCAACCTTCGGCCCTCCAGATGTTTTGGACTACAATTCCCATCATTCCTGACCACTTGTCCTGTTAGCTAGGGATCATGGGAGTTGTAGGTCAAAACATCTGGAGGGCCTCAGGTTGGGGATGACCGGATCCATCAGCTGCCGGGAGTCCCTGTCGGGGGGTGGGGGTGGAATGCATGCTATTAATAATAATGATGATGACAATGATGATGCTTCAATTTGAAGAATCGTTACTAGTTTTGTAATGATTTCCTCATCCTAAATTTCTCTAAACTGCCTGGGAGGAAGGCAGGATATAGTATAATATGTATATATTATAGATATATATATAAATATATATACACATACACATAATAAATATATACATAAATATACATAATAAATATAGACATCATATCAATTTATACATAGCAATAACAACAATAGAATACTGGGCACAATAACAATAGTAAGAACAGTAACATGATACTGGGCCCAATATAATACGGGGTGAGTACACATGTTCCACGGGGCCTCCTTTAAAAGACTCACCCTGTATATTGTTGTTAATAATAATAATAATAATATTCCGCTTCTCCTTCCTCAGGGTGTGACAGTCCAAAAATGATTGTTTTCCTTATTATGCTGTCTTTTACCATGCTTTGATTTATGCTCTGTAAAATAGCCTCTGAAAACGGTACACTGTCCTGAGATCTTTGGATTAACGCTAGTATATACTAATCTTAATATACTTATGATATATAATGTAATAATGATGATTATAATAAGAATCATAATATTAATAAGAAGCTATCTAAGTGTGTGTGTGTTCTTCCCCCTGATGGTCTCTCTCCTCTCTCTCTCTCTCTCTCTCTACCTGCCCCGCAGGGCTGTCGTGCAACTTTGAGAGCGACCTGTGTGGGTGGTTTGCTGAGCCGGGCGACGGGTTTGAGTGGCGCCTCCACATCGGCCAGGACCACACGACGGGCAGAGGTAGGAAGATTTGAACCCAAGACCTTCCCTTTCAGAAAGCTGCTTGTGTTTCCAGTCCTCCTGCACTGGTTTGGCAAGGAGCAAAGGCTTGCCGTCGAAATTATTCCACTCCCATGGCCAAATCGGGTGGAATTATGCTGATAATGTCACTATAAGTTGCTATATAAGTTTTCAGCTGAATTTGGAGAAAGGGCTTGCAGCTTTTCCGGGATCTGCTCCTTGCAAAAGAGCAGAAAGCCTGCCAATTTTGAGAACAAACCTGATTTGCGATGGGGGTGGAATAATTTCAATTGCAATTTGTGCACCCAAAGCAGCTCACAGCTCCTGGGGCAAACCTTGACACATCCCAAAAGAGATTTCTTTTTTGAATTGAAATGGTTGTTGTGATTAATTTGATATTATGCTGCTGTTACTGGTTTAAGGTTTGGATGAAAGATGCCCCCTCAAATGTGCTCTTATGTTCCAGTTCCATATGTTGTTGTTGTTGTTTAGTTGTTTAGTCGTGTCCGACTCTTCGTGACCCCATGGACCAGAGCACGCCAGGCACTTCTGTCCTCCACTGCCTCCCGCAGTTTGGTCAAACTCATGCTGGTAGCTTCGAGAATACCATCCAACCATCTCATCCTCTGTCGTCCCCTTCTCCTTGTGCCCTCCATCTTTCCCAACATCAGGGTCTTTTCCAGGGAGTCTTCTCTTCTCATGAGGTGACCAAAGTATTGGAGCCTCAACTTCACGATCTGTCCTTCCAGTGAGCACTCAGGGCTGATTTCCTTCAGAATGGATAGGTTTGATCTTCTTGCAGTCCATGGGACTCTCAAGAGTCTCCTCCAGCACCATAATTCAAAAGCATCAATTCTTCGGCGATCAGCCTTCTTTATGGTCCAGCTCTCACTTCCATACATCACTACTGGGAAAACCATAGCTTTTACTATACGGACCTTTGTTGGCAAGGTGATGTCTCTACTTTTTAGGATGCTGTCTAGGTTTGTCATTGCTTTTCTAGTTCCATATGGGCGGGGTATAAATAATATCTTCTTCTTATTATTCTTATTATTATTATTATGATTATGCGGTTGGATATAAATCACATTAATAGTAATTGTAATAGTAATAACTGCCCGTCTCCAAATCACACAGTTGGGTTCGTAGGCTCGACCAAAATGACTTAAACCATTCCTATCAGTTTGCCAAGAATTTCTAGATGGCTTGAAAAACCTCATTTTGGAAATAAAACAAAAAAATCAATCATTGATCCAGTTTCAGTCCCACAAACTATCCCTTGTCGGGGAGTTCCAAAGGAGGCAGCTGCTCTCTGAAATGGAACTTAGAGGGCAAGTCTCAGGGGGCAAGCAGGTGGATTTTGAGGGCAAGCTGAGCCTTGGCGCAAATTCAAACCCAGGACCTGACCCTGTCGCCCCACAGGTTCTTTCCTCTCGGCGGACCCTGCGGCACCCGGATCCCACGGCCGGCGGGCGAGGCTGGTCTCTGCCCCCCAAGCTTCGCTGACACTGTCCAACGCCTGCCTCTCCTTCTGGTACCGCCTGGAGGGGCCCCAGATTGGTAAGGGCGGCTCTCAAGTGGCAGGCAGTTCCCAGATGGTGCAGGTTTGAGAGCAAGATGCTGGGAAGGCCCAGGACACAAGGAGTGCCAGCCGGACAATCAAGTGGCAGGGAGTTCCAATGGAGGAGACTGCCAGATCTCCAGAGGCGAGGGGATTTCTTCATCTCAAGTAGCAGGGAGTTCCCAAGATGGCAAGCGCTGCAAGTCCATCCAGGAGGGAGGAGGCCATTCAGTCAGCTGGCATGCGGGCCGAGATTTCCAAAGGGAGTTTTCGTCCTGGAAGAGGGCGGGACTCGAACCTGCAGCTTCAGCTCTAGCAAGGAATTTCAGCGGAGGGAGGGGTGCCCTCGAAGGAGTGGCGTCGCCGGAGACTTTTCAGATGAGAATAATGAAATTTTTATATACCATCCTATACCCCAAAGTCTCAGGGAGGTTCACAGACAAATGAACAAATATCAATTCGTTATTGAGAAATAGTATTTCTTATTGCTTATTATCATTTTTATATTATATTTTTATATTATTTATATTGTATTTATAAAAAAATTATCAAATTCTTATATTATCATATAAAAAGAATGATAAGAATAAATGATGGTAAAAAGTACTATTTCTCAAAAACAAATATTGGTGACAAGTTATAATCCAGAAAAATTAAGAACACCGGTTGATGGTATTAAATGATGAGTGGTAATGAGCCACGATGATGATGATGATGATGATGATGATAATAATAATAATAATAATAATAATGTATTTATACCCCGCCTATCTGGGCAGCTTCCAACCAGATATTAAAAACAATACAGCATAAATAACAATCAGCAAGAATCCTTTAAAAATAAATAATAGCTTAATGGTTATAGCAGTTAAGAAAAGGAAATACAGTAGTAAGAATAATGAACAAAGATAAAAACACATAGCGGTTGGGGGAAAGGATGAGATGATGATGATGATGATGATGATGATGATGATGATGATATAATAGCAATTAATGGAGCCCCTCCCCCCCCTCTTTCCCAGGCACCTTCAACCTGCTGGTGAAATCCGCTGGTGCCGCAGAGGAAGTTCTGTGGACCCGGGCGGGGAGTCAGGGCGCCGCTTGGCGCCGTGCCTCGGCCACAATTCCCCAGCACCTGCTGCCCGGCTTCCAGGTGAGGTCTTGGGATCGAATCCAGCCTAGAATAAGAACAAGCAAAATCATCGTGAATAACAGCACCGGAAACTATTTTCTTTCCATTCCAGGTGATCTTTGAGCTGCTCCGCGACGGCTTCGTGGGAACCGTGGCACTGGACGACGTAGCACTGGCGCCCGGCCCCTGCGCCGCCCCCCTCCGCTGCAACTTTGAGGAGCCCGGCGCCTGCAATGTTTCGGGAGGAGGGTGGGTGCGGCAGCAGGGCGGTGGCACCTCAGGGCAAGGCCCGCCCCATGACCGCACCCTTGGCACGTCGGAGGGTGAGTGACGCCAGGGTCAGGCTGGATGACCGCCGGCTCCCAATATGGAAGGAGACCCCAACTGGAACTCGCCGCTTCCCTCCCCAGGACACTACATGGTTGCCGACACCAGCGCCCTGGCAGCGGGAGAAGCGGTGCCGCTGCGGACGGGGATGTACCTGCCACTGGGGGGAACCCACTGTGTCGGATTCTGGTACTACCTGAGCGCTGGAGACGCAGGTAAAAGCTCGGGGTGGGATGGATGACCCACCAGGGTCCCGCCCTGCCAGAAAGCTTGATGACTCCACCAAGGCACTCTCTCGCCAGGCTCTCTGCGTGCCTCTGTGGAGGAAGAGGGCGGGAGGCAGACCGAGGCGCTGGCAGCGGGTTCAAGGCGGCACGGGAGCTGGCGCTACGCAAATTTCACGGCGGAAGTTAGCGGCGAGTGGCGGGTGAGCGCCAAAGGGGAGAGTCGGGTTGGGGGAATGGTGCTGGGTTTGAGTTTGTGGCAGCATGCGGACCCCCCTCTCTCTGGCGCAGGTGGCTTTTGAGGCAGAAGGCGATGGAGGGGCTGTGCCATCGTATGTGGCGCTCGACGACCTTGAGGTGACACCGGGGAGCTGCCTCGGCGCTGGTAAGTCTTGGGAGTTGTAGCGCCGCATGACCAAAGGGTTTGGGGTGCAGAATATTGCCAGGAGATTGACTGCTCTGGCTTCTCTCCGCTCAGGCTCATGCGATTTTGAATCCGGCACCTGTGGCTGGAGGAAGCCCCATGGTGATTGGCGGAGCTGGGATTGGGCCGGGCGGGCACGGACGGTGAGTCTCGCACGCGGTACCCCCAAGCGTCTGGGGCGGGATGCTTACGACTTACGACCCTGCAAGGTGGGTCGAGGAGATTGGAATGAATCGTCGCAATAATGGTTTGCTCTGAGCTGGGTCCGGGTGCGAGTAATCGGGCTTCTCTCCCGATTATTATTTTCATTTCTCTCTAGGGCGCCACATCTCCGTCCAGGTGGGCGCAGGACACCACGCCGCCCGCCTCACCAGCGAGACCCTTGAAGGCACCGGCTGCTTCCACTTCCGCCACCGCTTGGCCTTCCAGGGGAAAAGTGGTGAGTCAGGTTTTACTTGGGCCGGTGGAACCCCCTGATGCGGGAAGGGAATTATTGCGGAGCCTCTGGCACCCAAACCCACTGCCCACATGACTCCGCCTTCCTTTCCCTCCCCAGCAGGCAATGCTGAGCTCCGGGTGCTCCTGTCTGGCCCGCAGGGGGAGCGTGTGGTCTGGCGGGCAGCCGGCCACCAAGGTTGGGCCTGGCGGGAGGAGAGGCTTCTCATTGACAGTGGTGGTGAGTTCCAGGTAAGCCATCTCAGAAAGTTTGGTGCCTTTGAGACTGTCTGCCACTGGTGTTCCTATGATAATTAAACTTCCTTATATTATTCCTATTAAACTCCTTTAAATGTGACGGCCTTTGTCCACCTTTGGGACTGCCTGCCACTGGATGCCCTATAAAGACGTGGGGCTTTTCGGTTCGAAAAAGAGAATCCCAATTACCCCTTTGGGACTTCTTGCCACGGCACCATGAAACTTTGGGACTCCCTGCCACTTTGGAACGCCTCTTGCAAGAGACGTTCAGCAGGTGGCGGATTCGAATTCCTTCCTGGCAGGAGGCACTGCTGGTTTGAACCCATGTCTCGCAGGTGGTGCTGGAAGTGGGCGCTGGCGATTGGTCCGGCACGGGCACCATTGCGGTGGACGACGTAGCATACGTGGCAGGAGGCGGGTGCGAGGAGCGGCGCCAGGAGAGCGGTGGTGAAGGTGAGGGGAGGCCCAATGCTTTGGGGATCCGGGGTTCAAGAGACACACAGGCGCATACAAAGGGAGTCTTTCCCCCCCCAGGGAGCAGTGCCCCCACCCTGCCTTGGGAGGCTGCCGTTGCATCCGCAGCCGCCTGCGCCCTTTTTGGGGGGCTCCTGGCCTGGGCCGTCGCTCACCGCTGTCGGAAGAAGTGCTGGCCGTTGGAGGCGCCCCAGTTCGAGGGCTTCGACAATGTTGCCTTCCAAGACGTGAGTCCCTCGCACCCTGGACCCCCTGTCCCACCCCCAGCCCCGTCCCCCTTCCATACGCCAGAGGCAGTCTACCTGCCTCCCTGTGATAAGAGGTGGGGCCTCCAGGGCCAGAGGCAGCCTACCTGCATTGGTGAATTCCATGCCTGGCCATGAACTACCCGCTTTGCATTTGCAGGACCAGGTTCGGATCGTGGAGCTGCCCATCAGCGCGCCAACAGACTAGCCCGTTTCTCCCCAGAAGGATGCCTGCCTAGCTGGCGGGTTGGACTGGATGACCCTCAGATCCCTTTCTGACTGGGCACGATTTCTCTGGACATGCTGAAGGCAGACAACACGAAACAAAGGAGAAAACTGTGGTGTTTTTTCCGTAGCCGCTCTCGTCTCCTGTGAAATAAAATGGGATTTCTGCCCCAAAAAATGGTGTCGGGGTATCTGTGCACGAACAGAGCTCAGGGAGTTTGGGACGGAGGGGGGGGAACAGCCTGCTCCCGGGGCAGAGTAAGAGATCTGTCTTGGTCCCCACTTCGTGGGGGAATGGACTAGATGCCTCTTGGGGTCCCATCTCTGCATTTCAGGGGTCAGACTATATGTGTTTTAACAATGAGTCCGTAAGTGACTGTGGAGGCCAATTCTGGATCCACACGTCCTTTCACAGAGGGAGTTGATCACGGTGTGGATTTGCCAATGGTCAGGATGGGAGTTATAGCTCGGCAACATCTGGAGTGTCAAAGGTTCCCCATCTCTGGATTACTGGCACTGGCAGAGGAAGAGGGTAGTGGGGGGAGCTCACTGCCCCCAGCAGTGCAATCCCGGTGGGGTGCCATTGCGACTGGCCCCCCCCCCCCGCCCCTGCGGGCAGTGTGCCACGCCCCCAGGACACGTGCCACGCCCCCACCTGCTCTCTGCTCCCCCCCCCCCTGCTGCTGGAGCATGAAGCTCCACCACTAATTACTGGACCTATCTAGAGATACCTACTGTATGTCCCCCACAAGGTCTTCCAGCATATTTGCATGCCAAGTGGCATCTATTCCCCCCCCCCCCAAAAAAATTATGTTCTCTTTAATGGCGGAGGTTGAAATGATTGATAGCTATAACAGTGGTTACCAAAAGGTGCTTCTAGAGTCCTTCAGTCACAGGAACATATGTGTTATTAATGTAAGTATAATTTTTTAAAATTGTAGCCAATGTAGTATCAGAAGTTAAGCAGATTTTAATATGTAGAAGAAGTCCATTAACAATGGGAAATGAGTATATCCATCCACTTCCTGCCCCAAAATGATGAGTATAGCAAAGGGCAAGAATAAGAGAAAAAAAGCCTGACATAGTCTGCATGCCTCTAGACTGATTTCAGTAAAGTTGGTGCTAGGAAACAAGAAAAGTGAGTTTTACTCCTGTACTTCTCTGCTGTTCAATCTCAAACTACAGGGTCTTAGACTTACACAATAAATTGATATTGATATCTAAAAATATTGGTTTAGGGTAAACAAATGATGGTTTCAGTTGAACTTCGTATTTCTGAAGTATCTGTGGATTTATATGAAATTACTTTCTTTGTTTCCTTAGAGAGTTTGGATAATTGTAATAAAATTTTCAATGAACTTAAGAACTGTAACATACCAAACAACATACAAAGTCAGATTTAACAGACACACACACACTGTAATACATATTGTGAGTACAAATTATTATTCATTCCAAGTGGAATGAAAATCCAGTTAAATGGATTTAGAATATACTTCTGCAATGTTTTTACAGCCTGATTCCATATATGCCTTATCAAGCCCATTGAGTCTTAGGCTGCAATCTTATGCTCATTTACCTGATACATCACAGAAGGGGTGTAACCCGGAGGCAGCATGGAGGCTGCAACAGCAGAAAAGAGCTCCTGAAGCCAGCCAGAGTAAAAGGCTCTGTCTGGCCGACTCCTGGGCTCCCAGGACTGCTGCCACCAGCACCGCCAGCGGAGAGGAATCGGGGGTGCCTGGGGAGCCTATCAAAGGAGCCAAAACACCCCCCCCACGACCTTGATTGAGCCGGAAAGGCACCCGACCACCCCCCCCAACAGCCGAGAGGAGCTCCAAAACCAGGAGGACAGTGGAGCTAACGCAAAGAGGGAGAAAGGGGGAGAGAGGAAGAAAAAGAAAGAAAGAAAAAGGAGCCCCAAACTTACCGCTGCTGCCCCCATCTCTGCTGACAAGAAAGCAGAGGAGAGGTAGGTGAGCACGGGAAGGCAAAAGAGGCTCCGGAAAAACACGTGGCTGAGCCCCACCGGAGCTCCAGCAGCAAGGAAAACAGAGAAGCCGCATAACAAAGGGATTTCCCCCTTTCTTTCTTTTCTTTTCCTTTTTTTAACCCCCTTATTTTAACCCCTTCCTCCCTCCCTCCCCCCTTTAAAATATATTTATATATATCTTTTTTATCTCTACCCTACCCCATATACCTACTTTTATCACTTTTCTTTTTAAAAGAGGGGCCACTGCTGCTGCAGCCACCCTTTATTTGAATCTTTATTTTTATTGCTATCTTTTCTACACACTATTTAAAGACACACTTTTCCACACACACACTCTGAATTTAAACCTCATTTTATTTCCACCTCAAACTCCCTCTTAAGAACTAAAATGGCAGTACCCAGAAAGCAGCCCTGAACCATCACAGGCCATTTCCTGGGACTGCCACTTCGCCCCAGACTTTCCACTCTCTTTTACCTATCCTCTTTTACCTATACTTTACTCATTTTTAAAATAAAATAAAATAAAAAGCTCTATCTATCTATCTATCTAAAGACAACCCCCCCTTTTTTTTTAACCTTTAATTCTCATTTTTATCTTTTACCCGTACATTTTTAATTGCTTTTTTACAAACAAAAAATAATAACAATAATTAGGGGGAAATATTATTATTATTATTATTTAAAAAACCAAAACCATACAATTATTATTTTTTCTCCCCTCTTTCTCTTTTTAAAGCCCTTTCTTTTCTATTTGTTGGCTTGTTCTTGAGGGGGGAATCTTTCGCCCCCAGCTACGACCACCACTCTCTTTTAAAACAAAAATTTCCTCCATATCACTGCTATTGCTATTGATACTCTCCCCCTCAACTCCCCTCCTTTTTATTTTTCTCTCCCTTTTTTCTCTCCCCTCTCTCTTCACCCCTCCTCATTTTTTCCTTTTATCCCACCTTTCATTTCACATCCTCAATTTTGTTCTCTATCCCTTTAATTTTTTAAATCAACCCCCCCATTTTAGCCTGTTCATCAGTTTGTTTTTCAGAGGGGAGCCCTTTCCCCCACCCCTATTTTAAAATAAGACTTTCCCCATACCATTGCAGCAGCTTACCCTCCCTCCCTCCCCTCTCCCCTCTCTTTTCTTCTCCTTCCTTTTCCCACCCTTCCCCCTCCTCCTCTCCTTTTCTCTCCCTCCTCCCTCTCTCCATCCCCCTTCCCCTAAAGGAAACACATACACACATTCATATCACCCTATCATAATTTGGCCCCCTCATACTATAGCTAAAACTACTGCTGCAATCTAATACCGCTGATATTACTGTACTATCTCTCCGCGCGCTTGCAACTCTCTGTTTGTCCCTCTCTCTCTCTTCTCTTTTACTCCAATCTCCCCTCTCCCCCCCGCCTCCCCCCTTCTTCTTTCTTTCTTCTTCTTCTTCCCTTTTTTCTCCCTCCACCCTTTACATATAGCCCATTTGTCTGTCTCTGTTTCTGAGCGCACTCCCAACCCCAACTTCCACCTTAACTGGACCCCAATACCCCTTTTGGGCATATACAACCCCCTCCTAAACACATATTTCCCCTGGCCCCACCCCTCTAATCTCTTGCATCTCTACCTGCTAACCCCCTCCCTTTATATGAACTGTCTGTCCGTTAGTCTACCCATCTCTGCTTACCTGCCCCCCCCACCTCGGCGGCACCGCTGAGGCATCCACAAAAGCCCTAGAGAAGTTCTTAAAACACAGGCTAGAAGTGACACAAATGACCACCTAATCCAAACGCTCTGTAAAAGCCACCAGCCAAGAAAGCCTGATCAGCTCAGCAACCCAACAATACCCAGGAATCACCACTGCCACAACTCCTAACCACCACACGCCCTACCCCAAGAGGACGCCAAGCCAACCTCAAACCAAAACCATCAGGGAGACCGAGATGACACCAACCAGGGAGATGGCAAACAATGCTAAGATGGTAACTCCCCTTCAAGATGACGACCACCCAATAACGAAACGAGATCTGAGGGAAATGGAAGCAAGATTAGAAGCACGATTAGAAGAAACACTGAAGGCCACAATGGCTCCCATGCAGGTACTAATCAACAATCTAACCTCCAAAGTGGAAGCTCTAGAGAACAAGAACCAAATGCAAGAAAGAATAATAGAGCAATACCGGGAGGAGAACACACGTGTGAACAAGAAACTGGACGAACTGGTAAACCAAATGGAAGCAGAACACAGAGAGATGAAAATTAAGCAAGCCGACCTTGAAGACCGCAATAGACGTTGTAACATCCGCTTCCGCAACTTTCCTGAAAAAACAGAGGAGAAAAGCCCAGCAGACCTAATTATACGCTGGCTGAAAAACACAATCCCAAGCCTGAAACTTGAGGCAGATGACTTGGAGAGGGCTCACAGAGCCCTAAAACCTATGCCAAAACCCAGCGCCCCCCCAAGAGACATCATTGTATGCTTCACACGCTACCAAAAGAAGGAAGAGGTATGGAACCACCTCATAAACTCAACCAACCTTCGATATGGAGAAACCCCCATTCTGGCCTTACAGGACCTATCTCAGGATACCCTAAACCGGAGGAAAAACCTGCGCCCATGCACCCAGCGTCTCCAACAAGCAGGGATCAAATACCGATGGGGCTTCCCCTTCCGCCTCATTGTAACAACCAACACAACACAACACATGGCTACCAACATACCTGAGGCCCTGCAACTACTAAAAAACCTTGAACTCAACCTCCCACCGGAATGGCAACCGACAAACCCACCAAGTGACAGCCCCAACCACGAGGAAACAACAGCAAACAACTGGACAACGGTACAGAAGAAAAAGAAACAACAGAAGCGGCACAACAACGCAAACCAATACAGGCAAGCATCATGCTCAGAACCGTCCCGCCGGCCATACGACACAAGAAACCAGACCAAGATCAACCAAACCAATTCATCGCAGATGGACAACCCTACAACAACAACAACCCCAGCTGAATGAAGCAACCAGGAAAAAACCACAAACTGAAGGACTGGTGATTCCCCCCCCCCTTTCCCCTCTCTCCCCCCCCCCAAAACATAGATTTAGTTAACACCATCAACATCCCCCCAGCCCCGCACCCCCACAGGAATCCCCAACCCAACACCAGT